AATCGCGGTTTGAGGTAAAGACCTGTCGAAACTGTAAAGACATTTTAGCACTGCACACTATGAGACCAGCATTGTGGATGTAACCACTATGGATTGTAAATATTTTATTAAGTAAACTACTGAGTCATCCAGACTACTCATCCACAAATAAAGAAGTATCTACCTAAGTGCCTTCAAGCTCTTTAGAAACGCACACTAAAATCAACAATTTAGCACAATAAAGTTCACGGTCAAGTCTGCGTGTCCCAATAACTCAAAAACCCATTCTTTCTGGACGTTTTACTGCTCACAAAAATCGCAAGTATTTAACGTGCGCGTGTCGCAGCGCCATCTGCCATAAATTCCAGCACAACAAAGTATCTAAATTATCTTTTGATACTAAACTCCGATGACAGATTTTTCTGAGAAGCCAAATAACTTCGTCGTTCGACAGCTAAATTCTAATAAAGTGTCACATAAAATAAAATGAGTAAGTCTGTAGCCGGTTGGTTCCGATTCTGGGAAGGTGGCCAATGGTTCCGATTGGGACATATTCGATTACGGTCGCCATTCTCTTTTTGGACCCTAAATATGACGTTTATGATGAATTAAATGAAAACAATATAATGCTAAGAATAGATTTTGTCAAATTAATAGGATTCACCCAAGCCTCAGGCCAACCGGTTCAAGAAGAAAACACAGACACAATGTTAGTCAATGTTAAATATAGTTTATGTAAAAGTGTCATAGATCAATGAAGTTCATGTATGTATGAATCCCATTTCTACTACTACCTGTATTCACAGTGTAAGTTAAACTTACAAGATAGAAGAAAACTCGCCAACAAAAACTATAAGCTAGTTCAATAGATTATGCAAATCTCACTACACACCGAACAACATAAACAGTAATCTTAATCTACGAAATTAATTACCAAATAGGAAATTGTTACCCTAATACTGTATTAACCCGCACACTGCAATCCCAACAATTCCCAAATTAATTATACGATGGGACAGAGGGACCGCGCTGTAAATATTAATAGTGACGGACCTGGATCATATCCTAGTTTAATGAATAACTAATGTTACGGCGCTAAGGCCAAGTGAAAATTATCAATTTTCGGGGAGGAACGGGCGCGGCGGGACGCGCGACCCTTGACTTTGGGACTACTTGACGGGCCAGGGCTGTCACAGTTAGGAGATTATTAAAACCAATTTAATAAGTACAGCAATCAAAAAGGCTAATGTTTAGTAAAGACTAGCTTTCCGCCCGCGGCTTCGCCCGCGTGGAATTTTGTCTGTCACAGAAAAACTTTATCGCGCGCGTCCCTGTTTCAAAAACCGGGATAAAAACTATCCTATGTTCTTTCCCGGGACTCAAACTATCTCTATGCCAAATTTCATCAAAATCGGTTGCGAGGTTTAAGCGGGAAAGCGTAACAGACAGACAGACAGACAGACAGACAGACAGACAGACAGACAGACAGACAGACAGAGTTACTTTCGCATTTATAATATTAGTTGGGATTTATTGTTGAAATTGATAAAGTCTCCAATAGTATCATTTTCTTTAAAGTTATTTTACCTTACAAAATCATCTTATCGAAATGACCAGCAAAAGCACACTCGTGTCCTACTAGTAAAAGCAACGCAAAATTAAGTAACAGTAACTACAAGAAATTACCTATTATGTAACAGTTTTACGTTAATTGACTACTAAACTTTATACCTACTTAGTTCCATACTCTAATAGTCAGGTATTTAAGTTATTTTCAGTTTAACAAAAATTATATTGTTTGTTTTCTCCGGTCGCGCGGCAACCCTAAACTCACCCCTTTCCCCTTCGGGCCTCATATCCAAAACAACATAAAAGCAATTCAGCAAATTGTTATTGGCATGTTAATACACAGTGTAGATGTCGCTAGTAGCGTGTCGTGGCGTTACTCCATCATGTGTCATTGCGGGGTCGGACCGTCCCGACCGTTGTTTAGGAACATACGTCGGTAAGTTAAGGGTTAAGAGGCAATTAATTTAGCAATTGAATTGCCTTGTTTAGTGATAAAATTATGTGGAATATTATTATTACTGTAGATAGGAGCTTCTAGAAGGGATATTTATTTGAGAGTTTAAATCTTTACCGGTGGACAAGTAAGTTTTACGTTTTATTCACGAACGATGCTTGCTACGTGAAGCAGCAAATCGAACGCACAGCGTTCAATAGAGCTCTGTGATTGGTGCGTGTATCATCCTGTGCGTTCACGCGCACTGTGAGACCTCACAGTAATGTTTGTGAATACGAGCGTTAGACAATATCAGAGACTATGCGTGTCTTGTTATCAAGATTTTAAAATATTTAGCATACACATTTTCCATGACTTTCAAAGACTATTATGTAATTTTTCGTTAAAAATACGCTTTTACCTAGAGATGACTTATTACTTCATTACTTGCGTGGAAGAAAGAAAAGGGGTTGTTACAACAATGTAGTTTTTCTGAGATGTTGTCGACAACAATGGCGTTGTTCAGTGGCCCAACAAGAGCCCAATTAGGTGGCTGACGGGATTAGATCTGCGGCCAATTTGGGAGACAGGCACAGACCTAGGGATATATTTTTTTATGCATAACAAGGCAGGTATTTGACCACAATCGCACCTGGTGTTAAGTGGGGTGCAGTCTAGGATAATACATATCTGCCCAGTAAGTGCCTATTCACTCTCGTCTTGAAAAGGCTACTACTTTATTACTTTCGCCTTTTTTATCATTATAAATGGCAATCCACTGCTGGACATAAGCCTTCACAATAGAACTCTACAAATCTCCCGCTGTGGTCTTCCATCCAGCCGCTGCTAGCCACCTTCTTGAGGTCGTCGGTCAATCGAGCAGGAGGGAGGGTGTCCTACGCTACGCTATACTATGCCGAGGCATAGCCTCCATTTCAATATTAAAAAATACTCATATGAACAAACATGTCACCTACATGATAATGTGGCAAGGATAGAATACAAAACAATGTCCCCGTGTTTTAAACTTCAGATAAAATACGGCATTCAACAAATGCTAAACAAACGATAGCCTGCAGTCGCTGGTTCTCATGCTTGCAGTAGTCATTTTATAACTTCAAGACAATTGTGCACCTAAGGCGCTCCTTCGCCTGACCCTGGCGCCTCGGAGATGAATTTACTAGTTTTAAAATTAAATATAAATAAAACTCAACGCACATTTCGTCTTCGGTCCGACCCTGGCGCTTCGGTAATGAATTTAGCCCGAAGACAGATCAGTTTTGTTTGCTTGCGAGTTGCGTAGCCCGCCGGCCGCCGCATCTGTCACAACCCTTTACGGTGATAGGGTGGCCATGGGTTAGGGTCTTACCTAGGGGGCTCCTTAAAAATTCTCTAAAAATAATGAATAGTTCGCGAAAAATCCTTTATTAGGGTGAGTTAGCGAAGGTACTTCTCCAAAAATACACAAATAACGAGCCAGCTAAAGTTAATAATTATCTAAGACAAATAAGCTGTTTCTTGGCAGTTCGAGTAAAACTGCACTACAAGAATTGCTCTTATTTTGTTTGGCATAAAAGTCGTCATAATGTCCTAGCCGAAGTAATGGTATACTTCACACATCTCCCTCGTTAAATTCCATGGAGGCGAATTGGTAGCGCCCTCTGCCTAAGTAGTTCCTGGATGGATTCTTTAACCTTAAATGTTGCTAGGTTCGTCCTGTATTATGGTCACCCCAGCGAGTAGACTTGATAAATAATTCACCTCATCAGGGGTCGGCCGTGCCAATAGCTCTCTGTTTGCGCATATCGCGATCCTATACCAATATTGCTTTTACGAAAAATCTTAACGTAAGATCGTTTGTCCGTAATAATTAAATTGATGATTTCAAACACAATGTCGAAACTTTTATAAGAAAATAGGCACTATTATTAAAATAAGAAAACACCATTTACAAATAAATTGTTCTGATAGAAAGCTAAGCATTTTCACTGCCTGTATCAATATCATGGTATGAAGCAATGATCATTGGATTATAATGACACTAATATGATCATTATTTCTGTAGTTAGGTAAATGGCCCATCACCAGATGTGGCTCAATGTCAAAACATTTGTGTTTGATGATAAATTACCGTAACTCTACATACATCAAATGAAATATTTCACCACACATGGGTCAATTCAATAATGCATTCATATAATCTAGGTTTTCAATCCTACTTATTTTCTATTTCATTATACTCAAATTGTCTCTAGAGTGTGACCTGTTAACTCTACTTATCGCCTTCATAGCTTAGTGCTACGAGACTTTAACTCACCTGAGCCGGTGGCTCTAGGTTCGATTCTCAGATAGATCTTAAAATGCCACTGTTGTTTGTTCCCTGTTTGGTTTTCACAATTGAATAAAGTACCCGATCATACTTTTGACTAAGTTGTTACAACACAAAAAAAAGAATAAGAAGACAAAAATATTTACACAAACGCGCGAGTTATGCATAAAATTTCGTGTAGACTATCTACAGCCCCCAAAGCAGTCAAATTGCCGCTTAATTTATGGCCGCCCCATTAATCCAGGCTGGAATTAAAGCGAAAAAAACAAAAAACCAAATCTATCCCCTTGATTACAAGCTGTCACGTCGTAGGATTTTTTCTAAGCCCTCAATTCTAATTAGTCACGTTGGTTTGTAGCTACAGTGAACATCCATTTTCTTAAACGCCCTGTATAATTGCCCCACCTAGGGATGTTGCCAGCCGCAAAATTTATTGCTTAATTACCTCAAGAATACGCGTCGCGCCCGACATCTCGACAGATGTTTTTTATTCGCGAGGAAAAACAAAAACCGTTTAAGAATGACATTAATTAATTCTTAATGAAATTCATCTTCACCCTCCCGTGTTTTAATTTAAACGCTCGATTTATTACTTGTACAATTTGTCGCGACTCGCCGCCCTCCAATAATTAAAACGAGCTGGCGTAATTACATTTATTAACGACTTACACAAATAGTTTGTTCAATCTGTATCTTTTATTTTTTAAGTTTAACTATGAATAAATACTAAATCAGACACAAATGTAGGCAAAACTTATTGAATTATGTGATCGACGTTTGACAAGATTTATGGCTGGTTTTCAGCTATGTAAAAACGAGCCAGAAATTATGACAAGTCTTTGGGAAAACCAGTCTAATATTTCCTCTGATACGGGTCTTCTATCGCGCCTTGAAATAGAGGCTCCTCAAATCGAAGATATCCGTCATCAGGCCGCAAAACATCTTGGAATGTTTTATGTGACAGCTGGTCGCTATAGCTGTCTAAACCATCGTGGTACTGGTGGCTATTTATCAAATTCCTGTTGACATTCACATTCCTATTGTTGTTGTTATTATTATTGGCGTTGTTATTTTTGTACTTGTCTTCTTTTTGCGGCAGCACGGGAGTCGGCGTAACTTTATCGTCGGTTTTTTTGTCTTTAGTGGCGGTGCCGGCGCCTGCGAGGTCTCTGTAGTTCCTCTCCTCTTTCCTCAAAGGCGCGTAGGGATATCTACTTCTAAATCTGTAGTCGTACCTGCCGTTTCTCGCGTAATAATCGTCATCGAAGCGTCTGTAAGGGTCCACGCCGAATCTAGTTCTGAGATCAACGTTCGGAGGCGTCCGCATGACCTCTGGTAAATGGGCGTAATAGATGATGCGTTTGGGCTTCCTCGGGACGTAATTGTCGTATGTATCATCGTACCTGTCGATGCGAGGCCCGGGGTATACGGGGTACCGCCTGCGGTCGTATAAATCAAAGTAGGGATCGCGGCGGTATATATCGTCGGCAGGATAGAACCTGTCATCGTAATAGTGTCGCCGAGACTCTTCCGGGTAGTAAACAGCCTGTCTGGGATAGACAGGTTTGTAAGGTTTAGTTTCTTCGCCTGGGCGGACGAATTCGGTTCGGATATCGTCGGTGCGAGTGGCTCGCTGAATGGATTCCTTGTCGTTGCGGGACTCGGACGCTTCGAGCTGTTTGTTTTGGGTGACGAAGTTGACGCGAGGCATCCTCGTATTGATGAGGTCTCCGGAGGGTTGGGGAGGAGTGAGGATGTCATCTCTGTGGTCATCGCGATCTGGGAAAGGCAGTTTGATCCAGTTTTCATTAGATGCTCTTGCGCCTCTACCAGTAGGCTTATCGGTGACTCTTTCAGTGGTTTGGTACAAAGGCAGCACTTCTTTCACTTCGGGGTTCGTGAGTGATATTTTAGTAGTAGGGTCCTCGTCAGGAGGCAGTGGGCCGGGCATCCAAGGCGTCTGGTGGTTCATGTTGCTTTCTTTTCGAATTTCGGAGTTGATGTTGAAGAACTTTTCCTCTTCGATGACGTCGCGACGTCCTCTCGTGTCGGATGCGATGCTTACCTTAAAATATAAGAAAGTCAAATTAACTGAAATGTTTTGAAATATACCATAATATTATTGTGTACCATTGACTATTTCTACAGTCAAGGCTATTATGAGAATAAAACTACAATAAAAACAGTGATGTTGACATAATTTATTACATGGTTTATTACATCACAGGAAATGATATTTGTGTATAAAGATTATTTATTATTTTATTTTATTTTTGACGCTGTTTTGTATGTTGTTCTACAGGTATAATAGATTTTATAAAGCATTTAGTATTTACCTCCGTATGCTTCTCAAATTCATGTTGGATATCCATCGACACCACGGCATGCAGCAGCACGCAGCCCCAAAAGGCAACCATCTGTTTCTTCATCGTCCCCATTGTAACGGCAATCTGAAACACAAAACATACCAACTAAGAAACTTCTTAAAGAACTTTATCACCATAAAATGTCTTAGTTATTTTATGAATTCTTTAAAAAAATATCAGTCTTCTCTTGGGTATCGGCTTCGTTTCCTGGCTTTGTACCTACATTTTGTACCGTGGCAACTATACCTATAGATAGTTTCCTACCCTCGGCGAGACACGATCGTGTAACCACAGTTTGACGTTACTCGGTACGCAACTCACCAGGCTGTCTAAAAAAACCTTTTTATATAATCTAACAAGGAAATACCACAGAACCGATGCGTGATGATGTATCTACCCCAGCTATCTAGCAGAGCCATCGCTGGATATTGTCCAGCGCTCATTATCAATACATTTGGGAGTCCAGTGACCGTCGGAAGCTGCGACACGAGCGGAAGCCCGCGCCAGCCGAGCGTGGCCCCTGTACAGTCAGCTAGGTAAATCGACTACCACATTTTACACAGGCCTACCCAGTGGGTAAAAACGACTACCACATTTTACACAGGCCTACCCAGTGGGTAACGACTATCAGATTTTAAGCCCTACCAAACGTGTAAAAGTGGTTTTTAAAAGCCTAATTGCAAAAATAAAATACGTTTTATACAAATATTAATTAATTGTGTAGCTTTTAGCGCGTTTTAGGATTCGTCAACTTCAAATTGTAAATTGTAGAAACAAATCAATTTGAATGAAAGGAAACAAGAACAATCTTTAGAGTTGGTTACGACTACGTTTATGTACAGAAAACTTGAGAAAGCTCGTACCTATGAGGACTTTTTAAGTTATTGATATTCATGCACTTGCTATACAATCACTTAGTAGCAATGCGTTTTTGACTATAGCGACGGTTTTTTGATATCTGAAGGTCAATATTACGCTTGCTACTCTGTTTGGGTATAATTAACGTCCCGGAACGGTAATAGCATAATAATGTAATGTAACCTGGTGAAAAATTATGAAATGATAGTTGTTGTTAGTTTAGTCATAAGCTTGTAGAGAATCCATTTGAATGACGAAAATCTGATGGTTTGATAGCCCCAAAGCACAGAATAAGGGTAGACAAATTTAATATTCGATTTCGATTTGGTATCGAATCCCATAAAAACTGACTTTGCACTGTCTCGCATATAGGTAGAGAAAAGTCGATTTTTTTTTCAATAAAAAATAAAATAAAAAAGTAAAATTGCGCACATGACTGTACGGCGAAAATTGCCATTTTGTTTTTCCGTATTCCTAAAAATATAAGGGTCAAAATTGATTGTTTGCCAAACAATATGAATCGCAATGACAATGTTTATGCTGATCGCTATTCAATTTTACTGCGGGTTGCAGCGCCGCTTGTTTAGCGGCCATTACCTTAATGATGATGAATTGATAAGCTTCATTATAACTCATCACAAATAAGTACACCGAACTTTAGTGTTCTAACTTTTTTTAAACCGTGCATTTAAACATCACATATGCTAGAAATCTGTTTTGCAGTTTGAAGACGAAACGGAGGGATCCTCATATGATCTGAGGAGGGATCACATTCCTCGAGATAGTTTAAATTGTCTACAGACACTGGCTTTACAGATTACAATCTTAAATTCAAATTAAGGAAATTAGAAACCTGATTGTTCCGATTGGCGGCGTAATTTTTACAATTTTATATAATATGGAAAGTGACATGCGACTGGTATTGCGCAACATGTAGGTATTAAATCTACCAAAACTAATAACTATAATTATTTCAACACTGTATAGTACTTCATTCATAGTAATATGTCATCACTACTGCCAACATCAATTATGTTTTTCATATCGTACCAAACCCATGAAAATTCTAACTGCCCAAGCGTTTCCGCAGGACTACGACACCAGCGGTTGCAGATTCTAATCTCGCTGGGGCTCATTAGTTATAGTGCTTAACTGAGTGTCTGATGTATGGGGTCGCTACGAGAGGACCGTGACATTGATGTGACAGAACATACAAATATGGAGTCCCGCTGACTTTTGTGACCGTCAAAAAACACTCTCCCGTTCCGCTTCCATACCTCAGGCCAGGGATGATATGGATATCCGTAACCGTATACGAAACTATCGGATATCTGAAATAAAAAAACATCCTTAACCGTAACCGAAACCGATTCAAAAGTTTCGGATAAAGGCGGAGAAAAATCTTATTATTTTTTAATATTATTTTGTTATTGTCTGACATTCCCTGGCACCATCTATAATATCCCCGCCTATTTTACCTTTATCATAGGTGTTGTCATAGTACCTACACTAAGTGGCTGTGGGTCATGCAGCATATTGCTATTTGAATTTTACATTTTTAAAATCCTAATATCCGTAACCGAAATTATCCGAAACTTTCGGGTAATCCGAAATGATTTCATATCCGTAACCGAAACCGGTATAATATTATTCTAATATCCGTAACCATATCCATAACCGAAACTTCATATCCTTAACATCCCTGCCTCTTTAAGCGCTAGACCTAGAGTTAAAAAAAAACGGTTGTTATCATATTCTATCATCCCACAATGACTAAGTAAGTAACATAAAAGATCATGTAGACTTACTATAGCCATAGAACACAATAGTTTGCAGTTCCCACCAAATCTACAATAGTTTAGGAGTCAGTTTGACAGACATAGCAGTTCCGCTCCATATAATGCTGAGCTATTGTCGATTGATAGTTCAGATGGTTTGTATTGATCACCGTTAGACGCATGGTCTATTAGCGATTCACAATGGAAGGGTCAACGATTAGGGCTGACCTAGTTAGGCACTTGCGGATTTTGGTGCAAGGCAAAGGTCCCTAGAGATCATTTTGTGGAGAGGACAACGACAGGGGCTGTACCGGATGAAAATGGAGGCTGCTGGTTTTGGAATCCCACTGATTCCCCAATGTTAAGAGAGACTAGACTAACTACTTATCTAAGTACGTACGGCTTTCAAAAAGCGGTAGCAAGTGCGGTGTAGGTATGCTATGCTACCAAAATGCGAAAAGAAGTACCTAATATTCAATATGGTAACGACACCTCTACATTTCACTGTAAATGATCAAAATGTTTATTAAATGTGTGAATGAAAATTGGTGCCTTTTCTCTACCGCAAGTCACCTGCTGGCTTCGCAATACATAGTTGAATCTCGGAATTAAACAACACGATATCTGTTTAGTTAAAATTCTCGAAATTTAACTGGCAGAGAATGCCTTTTAAGGCAAAGATTAAATAAATAAATACGAGATTACAATTCACAACCATTATGATAGCTAAAATAACATCTAGAAATATTTTCACCCCTCATCGCATCAAGGTGAATAGAAAGAATTATCTCCAAACGTTTTTTGAATTTTCAGATTAACTTTGGTGGAAAAAACTACGTACCTATCTATTTTATTACTACTATCATTACCAATGTTATTTTAAAATCTAATCTCGACACTGCTTTTATTAAACACAAAAAACTTTAAAAAGTTCATCTGCTATTTTCGTATGCATGCAATAGGGAATCGGACACTATTCATAGCGACATCCCCCATTCGGATAAGTAGTACTTCCAAAATATTGTGTCACACACAACACATTTTCAGCTTTTCCTAATGGTTGCAGATTATCACTAAATGCTGTCCCAAACGCAGACGGAAATCCAGGCATGCTCTTCTGATGGAACGCACAGCGTTCGCCAGAGTAGGTAATATTTTTATACACAGACCGATACCTTCAAATTTTCACAAAGTTCCTTAACGTAAATAAATAAATAAAAAAGTAAAATAAATAGACAAAAAATAAAAATAAAACGGAAACTATTTTATAAATATTTAGTTTTGAATTTCGCACGCAGATCCAGAACTTTTAAGACAGTTGAATCCGAAATCCTCGCTATTTTTTTTTCGCAATTTCCGCAAAAGTAAATAAAACCAGTACTCACCATACCGCGGTCCAGCCAGGAGTGCCGGGAGAATCGCCGCCGCCTGCGCAGCCGGCGTCACGCGCTGCGACGCCGCACCGGCTCCATTGTACCACGTTATCTATGCATCTGATTGACAGTTCGGGCTAGGGATGGGTGGTGGGTATCCGAATCATTATTCGTTCGGTTTAAACAAAAAAAAATGGCTGTGACATACGGACGGACAGACAGACGGACTGACAGACATGACAAATCTATAAGGGTTCAGTTTTTTGCCATTTGGCTACGGAATCCTAAAAACTCCCATGGACTGCTGAATAAAGGCTTCCTTCAAGGATTTCCACAACGACCGGTCCTGCGCCAAGTGCTTCACCTTCACCAGACCGACGGTATGTCGAGTATTATCGAGGCAGTGGCACATAACTTGTAGAAATATAAAAGTTCTAAATACACATACTTAAAACATGTCTTTCATAAATCACACATTATTATAAAGTTAACACTGTCCAGTTGTGGCCACCATAAGTCGCAGATGTTACTTTCACACAATTTTCAATTACCGACACTGTAAGGAACGAAAACGACTAATGGAAAAATGGAATGTACTAAATATCCAAAGGATTCTAGATTTCTAGATCAGAAAATATCCTTAACCGAACTCGCCAAAGTAGTCTTAGCGGAGGCAGATAACATTCACGAGCGAATGGTTTAAATAGCATGCGCTGACAAGACACCATCATTGTTTTGTGGAATGTGTTTTACTAATTGAGCTATACATTGGTTTGCTGTATTTGGATTTTAAGTTGAATAAGAGCCTTAGCATCATTCTGTAATACAGAAACCACACAACAAAATAGACAAAGCAACATTGAGAACGCGCGATTACGTTCCCGCAAGAAAAATAAAATTAAAAATCTGCCTTATCATAATTAACATTGAGTCAGTTCAGTATCATTAACACAAACTTTTATTTATTTATTAAAGCAGGTATTGTTACGATACTGCATCAAAAAAAAGAAAATGTTATGCATATTTTTTTAATAACCGAGATAGATTTCATAAACCTAAACTTCATTGGAAACGCGCTCAATCTAACGGTGAGCATTCGAGTGTCGTTTATCGAACAATGCGTTCAACGCGTGTCGCGCAAATCGGTCAGCTAGGGTTAACCCTAATGACTCGCCCAAACCAACCGCAATCAGTCAATAGGTGTTGGACTCACTTTCCCATTGTTGCTTTTTCGGTGAAATTGACAAAATGAGTCTTTGACAATTTTATTGATATTTCATTTCATGTGTAAAATATTTTTACTAGATGTATAGCTACAGTAGTAGTATTTTTGCAGCGGTGAGATCTGCAGAGTAAAGCTTTCCAAAACATGTACAAACATATTGATGAACACTAAACATCTTGACACATCATAACGTCATAATATATCATGTCTACGTCATACTATACTTTATTTAGGTCATGTGACAGTATACGCCTACAGCCTACCTACAGCACTGAGAAATTCTCGCACTTACTTCCTATATTCAATGAAAATTGTACTTTTCGATGTAATAAATAAAACAAAAAATATTAGTAGACATATATAAAACTTTAATACTATTATTGTTCCATTTTAAAATAACATTCGACAACTTAAATGCACAAACTTGTGAAGATAAGACGAGACACGTGTGACCGTATAAATAACAGAAAGTTAAATAAACTAAACCTTAATACATGGAAATAAGAAGTTCCGCGGAACAAACCATCACGGTATAAGGCAACGTTAGCACTTTAAAGTTATTCAAAGCTTAATCGAGCCGAGAAAATCGGAAACTTAAGACATTTGAAGCCAATTTAATCCTTCAAGGCCCGCGAATCTAGACACAATAGATAATCAATTGTTATGACATTAATGAATGCCGTCTGGGACTCAAGCGGTTAATACATTGAAAAAATAAATCTTTAATTTGTGAGCCCTTTAGCAACATCCACGTCAATTTACTTGGATATTGCAAAACAACGTCAGAACTAGAATAATTTATTATTCAGTCATGTCTTCAGCGCAAATATCTAACGATTTTCATAGAAGGCTCTGTAATACAAACAAAATCACGGGCAAAATTCTCATTTCTATCGTTAATACAGTGATGTTTCACAATTGACACTAATATCGAAATTATAACGGTATAAACTTCATCACACCAAACATGTGATCAAAAAACTTTATACGCTGTCTTTGGTTAGTATTTTTTACGATGATTTTCCGTTAAAAATGAGCAACAGACTTCCCTAATTATATTCAATAACATACCACATATAAGTTGCATTAAATTTAAAATTTATACAATTATAGTAAGAAAGTTTAAAAATATTTCGTACCGAAACGTGTACGTAATATGAATTGCGTCGCGTTACTTTCGCGCAGACGCTTTTGTCGCGTCTTTAGTGTCAATAATAAGTATAGCTGGGCACCGTTAGTCAAACTCTGTTAATCGACAAATTATTACAGTTAAAAACTTAACTTTAACCGTCTTGAAACTGCATTTAATAAGCTATGGAATTTAAAGCAGGACTTGAAATGTTAATAAGTAAACTAGAAAGTGGGTCACATACAGAAAATAATCAAACAGAGTGCTTAGTGCAAGTTTACACGAAACGTCATCGCTAAGATTGTGCAGCGCCCCTTGCGGATACTTTCAAGAACTAAAATCTTCATAGAATTTTTTAACGCACTCACTAGCGAAAACGTTCAATGCAAACTCTGAAACTTTATGCAATCCGTTTGCATACTGCAAAGATACAGTATTTCCAATATCTGCGTACTTTATATCTTCCAATATAAGAAAGTTGAATCTTTTTGCCAAACTTTTCAGCCTGGTTATGAAGTCCGTACTGAAGTCTTCAATAATATCAGCATGTGTCTTCACTGAGCACACATTCATGTCGTCGCTTGCCTCTCTAGCTGACGTAACTGTCATTTTGCAAAATTTTCAGGCGATTAGACAGATCGATTCGTCTTGTAAAACTGATTAAGATGGTTTAGATAACTCAGCCCCCCTAGACAAAACGCACTTTTTGATCGAATCGAAAATCGAACCCGTCAAAACTCCATACAAAAAAGGGGCTTTTCGACCACTTTTCGACTGGTTTGCGATTATAATTTGCACTTTGTCTAGACCCACAGTTTCGAAAAAAAATGTCAGATACTTCAGTTAGAGAGGCAAGCGACGATGTTACTCAAAAATATACCCAGTTTACCGATTAACAGACGAATTTTTGTGCCCAGTAAGTGTGAGTATGAGCCCGTGATAAGCTAGCGTGAGTTATCGAGAACACTATGTATGTAAGTATGCGGCTATTCCTGCATCATTGCTTGCTGCGCAGGCGCGGCGGGCTCGTTGCCGCCTCTCTTCTTGGAGCCAGAGACGATGTCGTCGATTCGGAGGAGCAGGATGGCTGTCTCCACTGCTGTCTTGTACACCTGGAATGGGAGATGGTGGCGTTAGAGCGAGACAGCGATATAGCGGGTGATGGGGGGAAAAGAGTGAGAGATAACTTATCCATCATCATAAATCTAGTCGCCTAACGCGCAGGAACCCGTGGCTGTGGCCTCGTGGGAGTATGTCACAATGTGTCGAGGTATATCTTACGTTAAAACATCTACAGTTCGATAGCTAGCAATACCCGGATACCAGTCTTGGTCTTATCGGTGATTTGATCGCAGTTGCCGTCGATCTAACACGTAGGTGCAGCCTAGTGAGTGTACGCCATACATCCATACCATAAGTCAGAGAATGTCACGCTATGTCAGGGATGTCACGCTTATGACAGGGTATATCACACTGTCACTCTAACGCGCGACCCATGACAGTCCAGGCGCGCAACCTATGACAGTTCACGCGATCTGTCATTGGCCTTTTATCGCGCCGTGATCGCGCCGGCGATGGCGATTTGCACGCGTTGGTGTGGTTGAAGCATAAGTCAAAGAGTGTCACGCTATGTCAGGATATGTCACGCTATGTCCCTCTAAGGCTGAGTTGCACCACCTAAGTAACGGTAACTTTAACGATAACCGGTGCTATCTGTATGGAGTTTGACAGATTTTTGACGTTTGTCAAAGTTAAAATAAGATGGTGCAACTCAGCCTAAGTCAGAGAATATTAGGGTATGTCATGCGTACGAGTATGTCTATGTCGCGCTATGTTGTAATAGATGTTTCTTTCTTTAATTATGTCCTGTTATGTTATAATAATAATTTATGTTATGATAAATACTGTTAGTTGTGAAAAATATAAACGTTAAAATATCGGTATCTTTAAAATCAATGAGCTGCTGCCAGGGTGACATTGACGTAAGTAATGTAAATGTCATCCTAAAAAGGTCAGATGCGAGAAACGCGCGCGGACCCTTCCGCCCGCTTTTATGCTAAGCGATTAATTGTATTTAAAATGAGGCAATGTAATGTGCAAGTTATGTTTTGTTTATTAAAAAAATACACTGGTCATCATAAAAATCGACCCTCCCGCGACAAGCACTTTCAAAAGTATGCATCCCCACTTCCCACCAATATACTATATTACCATTTAAAAGCCTAGTTCTAAACTTCATTTCATTAAAGGAAAGGTTTTTACCCCAAAAATGTGTCTGTAGAAGAATCCAGAGTCACTTCTTCAAAAAATAGGTAGTTACGCTTGAGCCAACTTTTATGGCTATAAAACTGTTAAGTTGGGATTAATCGCTATCCATCTGTTAAAGAGGACACGTGAGATCATTATTTGGTTTTATAACCAAAAAAATTGGTCTAATTGATCCCAGAGGTGATCCCAAAGTGAGGTCTTTTTTCAAGTCTTTCAAGTCACATTTATTGTATATGTTAATCGTTTATTAGGAAATTAAATGTGTTTTTCTTTAAGGATATTTATTGGGCTTTCAAATAACACCAATATTGTTGGGGCACCATGATTGTCAGTAGAAACGAGTTTTCTTGTAAAACGTAGGTGGGCCGATTTTTGTGATGACCAGTGTAGATCTACCGGCTACTTAGTACATACCTGCAGCTTGACGGCGAGCGGCTCCCAGATGCCGATTTTGGCCATGTCGACGATCTGCCCGGAGTCGCCGTCGATGCCGAAGGAGCAGGCGCCGCCGGCCGCGTGCTTGGCCCGTAGAGCTGTCAGCGTGCGGATCGTGTTGGCGCCGCAGTTTTGGGCGAGCGTACGAGGAATTATCTCTGTAATGACATTGTTATTATTATTATACGGGAGACTTCTATACAGAGTGTTAGGAAAATGGGTATATGAGCCGACACTAGCCCATGTTAACATGGTCATATAAATGGTATGGTGAAGTCAGAAATTTGATATCATTTTATTTTTTTTAATTTTCATACAAAATTAATTTTGAAAAATCCGATTTGTATGAAAAATAAAATAATTAAAATGAAGATATCAATTTTCTGTCTTCACCATACCATTTATATGACCATGTTGACATGGGCTAGTGTCGGCTCATATACCCATTTACCTAACACCCATTGTGATGGATAATACTGTGAAACCTGTAGGATGTGCGCCGCGATAAGCGGTTATCACGGCATTTTATCGATTTTGCCCATACATTTTGACTATGACGGCTCGCATCCTAGCCCGGCTGGTGGCCTTTTATATTCTTAGTGTAAATTAACTAAAAAATAACTTCACATCGTGTAAACTAATTGTGCACGTAAATAATGACAACGTTCTATCGGTCTCAATAAACGATCGATAAGAGTGTGCGTCGCGTACAATAATTGTCGCGGCGCTCTGTACCTATTTTTTTTTTAGCTCGCTTCTCGGACTGAATGAGTTTTTGAAGTGTCAAAACATTTCATCATCATCATCAGGTCATTCCAACTGCAGGAAGACAAACCTCTCTTATTTACAAGAGGCAAAAGTGTATTTGACCTACTCCAGAGAGTAAGCTTTCTCAATCCGGAGGTTGGGAAGGCCTAATGTTCGCATATTTGCCCTTAGTCGCCTTTACGACATTCAAGTGAAAACTGGCGAGTCCTATTCCACTCTGTCAACATCACACACTATTTTGAGCCTTATCAACAACTAAATAAGCAATATTATCTAAGTGTTAACGTACCCAGCGCCTGCGCAACAGCGCGGTAGGGCGTGTTGTGCGCGCTGTTAGCCGTGAGCGCCTGCGACACCGCAAGAGTGGAGGTTGTCCAGCTCTATTCTTGCCAACGCCACACGCTATTTTGACACTTATCAATAACTGAATAAGCAATATTATCTAAACGTTATCTTACCCAGCGCCTGCGCAACAGCGCGGTAGGGCGTATTGTGCGCGCTGTTAGCCGTCAGCGCCTGCGACACCGCCATCTCCACCGCTCCGCCGCCCGACACCAGGCGCGGGCTCAACACCTGACAAAATCATACACGTTTTTAAAATGACAACGACTAAAGCCTGGTCCGTGAGCACGTAGAATTTTGTCCAATGACCCCAAGCTACCCATCCTTATCGCTCGCGCGTGATTATGTTGCTGTCGCGCTCGCACACTCACTGCGGGCGCCCGTCGCACAGTCGCTCTGTGATCTAACTCTGTGGTCCAGTTGTAAAACCTAGCAGCTGGTTTTACAACTCGGTCAATCTGGAGGTTCCAAGTACGATTCCTAATGGAGGCAACATTTCTGCTCAGTATAGTTCATCTGGCAAGCTACCACCATCATAACTAAACATAATCGAAAAAATAACAATGTTAACAGCATTGTTGTGTTTCCAAAGATAAAGGTTGGATAGTCAGCTTTTCTGTGATTGAGGTTTCCGAGTAAAGCTCGCTTCTTCCTTGCCTGATTATCACTTTTCATCAAATGAGACACAGGCAGAGTTTCTCCATTATGGGTAAAAAAGGGAATACAATAACGCTAATCACAATATTTACAATGAATGTTTGCAAATGTTCACCAGACCTATGACAGAAAAACCCTTAGATTACTGTACAAATAATTCAAACTTCCCTCTTCCACTGTTTATGTCACCGCCTGCCATTTTTTCAGTCAGAGACTATGAACCAGGCAGGTGTCCCGTAGTCTCCATCCATAGCCCAGTAACTAGTCCATCCATCCTTCATCCATAACCCTAGTCCATTCTCCACTAACTGCAATAGCTCCTGTGCACAAGCTGGGGATGGTCTCTGGCTACATCCCATGATATAGTCAGAGACTAGATCCAGTATGTGCACCACTTTCACTTTTGTCGATTATTTTACGCTTAAAACGGCCTCTACGTGTTGGATCTGTATCCACACGCAAGCCTTATAAAGGACCGGGCCACTTTTGACCCGTGAGCTCCAAAGCGTACAAATAATAATAATAAATACTCTTTATTGTACACCACATAAAATTATTATTAATGCTAATTGTAACTCACCAGATTTTTCGCGACGTGCAGAGCGTCTTGAAGATTCCTTTCAATCTCATTGAGAACATCCTTTGAAGCACCACGGAGCAATATTGTGCAGGCCTGAAAAAAATTTACTTTAACACAACTAGTTCACTTTTTTAACATAAAATGAAAATAAACGGCATAAGGTTCATACCAATAAATTTCTGAATATCTATCCCATATTCTATCCCATAAAAGTGTAAAAATCATAATAATTAATTTAAAAAACAGTCAAATTATTTGGGAAAAAGAAGGATTTATTATAGAAATGTACTGTTTATAAATTTTAAATTTTTAGTTTCTTTGAAAACACATTGTCATTTTATCTGAATACGCACATCGCATTATTTAGGCATCATGCATCATTGCAAACAAATAAAACGAAATAAATGTACAGATAACAACTGCACAATGCATATAAAGCTAAAAAGTAAAGTATTTGTGTGTAATAGGTGCCATTTTGCTGCAAAAATGTCTAATATTGTAATGTGCTCTCGTTTGTAAATAGCCACTGAGTATGGCATCTACCTTGGGGTTCTTGCACTCGGTGACGAAGGTGAAGTACTCGTCGCCGATCTTCTTGACCTCGAAGCGGCCGGCCAACGTGCCCACATCGGATTCCTTCAGCTCCTCAGTACGGTTCACGACGGTAGCACCGCAAGCGCGGGCCAGGCGGTTGTTGTCGGTTTTGCGCAGTCTGTATAAAGGAAGTGAGCATTAAAATTGATAAATTAACTGCCTTAAGAGGGAATCTGGAAACGAGCATTATTTTTAAAATAGACAACGTTGGCAGTGCCGTCAGCTTCCGCAATTAACTGTAATCTTTTCTAACACCAAACTATTCTTTATGACTTACGTAAACCACCTTACAAGTAGTTTTGACTACTACTAACCCTACTTTTGACGAATTCAGAATTTTTAGGTGGTACGAAGCAGGGTCAGCTAGCTAAAATAAAGAAAATCTATAATGGTCGCATTTTGACAGCCGGGTCAAGCTTGGTCTTCCTTCAGTGCTTGGGTATTTTTGGCGGTCAAGCAAGCCAGTCTCGGTTATCATCATAATGTAGATTCTGGCTACACAGGTTTTTTTTATGACTTTCGCGGTTTGCCTTTAGACAATGGTTACACAGGAATCACAGCGATGGGAATAGTTCCGTTGTTACTTGACTGCGCCAGGAGGGTTATTGACATAGGCTAAAAGTATGGGCAACGCACGACGAAACTAACTGAAATACGTGTTTACATTATGGGCTATATTTCACCGGGACACCATGGCGGCGCAACCAGTCGCCGCTACCAAAAAAAATTATGCAGCTTTCCGCAACCAAAGTTGTATACATTTTGTTGGTAGCCGGCGACTGGTTGCGCCGCCATGGTGTCCCGGTGAAATATCTTCTATATATATAAAAGAAAGTCGTGTTAGTTACTTCGCTTATAACTCAAGAACGGCTGAACCGATTTAGCTGAAAATTGTCAGGGAGGTAGTTTAGAGCCAGGAGAAGGACATAGGATACTTTTTATCCCGTTCGAAATAAAATAAAAGTCTGCTTATTTGTTGCCATTAAGGCGGAACAAAGTTCGCCGGGTCAGCTAGTAGCCCTATAAGTCTCAATCGATTTTCCTCAGTGTAACTGCGTCATAATTAACCTGCGGATGGCAGTGATGCCGGCCTTGACGAGGTAGTGTTGCGCGAGGTCGGACACGCCCTTCTCTGTGAACACGATGTCGGGCTTCAGCGCGATGATGTCCTCGCACTGTCTCTGCACGTGCTCCTCCTCCAGCTGCAGCAGCTTGGTGAAGTCCTGCGAAGATGTGGTATTTTCATTTAAAATGTTTTGCAAAAAACACCTAAGCCCGGTCTGTGAGCACGTAGAATTTTGTCCAATGACCCCTAACTACCCATCCTTATCGCTCGCGCGTAATTATATTGCTGTCGCGACTGTGCGACTGGCACCCGCAGTGAGTGTGCGAGCGCGATAGCAACATAATTACGCGCGAGCGATAAGGATGGGTAGCTAGGGGTCATTGGACAAAATTCTACGTGCTCACGGACCAGGCTTTAGCGAAAAAAGCATATCTTTTCTCTAAAGAATAAGACATGGCTCACTGGACTAGTCTGTTACTGAACGCCCCAAGAACCAGATTGGAATCACAACAGATGATTGGATTATTGTTTCACGGAAACAGATTGCTAAGTAACAGAACAGAAAAGGAAATGTTTTTATTCAATTTAGACCAAGACTTGGCAGTTATGACTGACAAAATGTAGCTCTTGTGTTATTTAAATAAAAGGACACAAAAGACCGTATTGTATGGGAATTTCCTTTTCAGTTTTTAGCCAAGCAAAAGTTAGAGTAGTTAATGGTTAATCTATTTTCATGTCCATCTCCTAGATAGGAGATGGGTTTTAGGTAAATCCACAATATTTAATTTGAAATCACTATTCATAATCTAAAAATTATCTTATCAGAAAATATAAGATTATTTTGTGAAATAGGGTCATCAACAAGCTCTTTATTAAGTTATTTAGTGACTTAACACTTTTATGTGTTAAATTGGTCCTACGCTGCGGCATCCAGGTACTTCCCTCGACCTTTACTAGATTGTCAGTTGCTTGCCCACACCGCGTCTTTCAGCCCGTGGCCAAATGTATATTCAAAACAAAGTAATTCTTGCTTATTACTGTAATGAACAGCTAAGAACTTAGAGCTTGTCCAAACAAATGTTTGTATATTTCTGTAATTAACAGTTGCCAAGGACTTAGAACTTGCCCAAACAAATGTTTCGACAACTCAGGACAGACTGTCCTGGCACCGCAGTATGAGGAGACCCCAAATAATGGGAAATGGCTAGGACAAAGAAAAAGAAGAAGTAATTTGTCATAATTTGTCGGCGGTTTGGTGTAGTGGTTCGAAACAGACTACTATTCCGGAGGTAGCGGGTTCGATTCCCATACAGTACAAACATTTGTGTGCATGAACATATTTGTTTGTATTGGACTGGATGTTTTCTATGTATAATAAGTATGTATTTACAAAAAAAAAGTATTTAAGTATGTTTATATCCGTCGTCTAGTACCCATAGTACAAGCTTTGCTTAGTTTGGGACTAGAAGCGCAGTGTAAATGTCCAAGGATATTTATTTAAAAAAAAAAAATACCTGATCACCCAGAATCTCGATGTTGGTCTGGCTCTCTCCCTTCTTGTACTCGAGAGGACAGTCAAGCAGTACAATGCGAGGATTCTCGATGTAGCGCCGCATCTTGGGGTGCGTGACGTCCTTGTTGATCATCACTCCGCTCAGCACCTTCGACTCTTCTACGGACCCACCGGGGATCTTCTCGATTTTAGCATAGCTGGAGATGAAGATGATAGTTACGTTAAGTTTAAACAGGAAAAATAACTGCTTGAGGTATAAATTGAAGGCACAACCTTTCACTTGACCAGTAAGTGAATAGGCACTTACAGGGCAGATGTACCATCCTACACTGCATCCCACTTAACACCAGGTGCGATTGTGTTCAAATACCAGCCATGTTATGCATAAAAAAGTGCTCCAACAGTCTAATTGAAATTTTTCATTTTTCAAAAGTGAATAACTAAGATTCCCACAATGATCTATAATCATTGTGGGAATCTTAGTTAGTTAGTCTGCTTCTAGGAATCTAGAGTCAACAGTTCATATCATGCAAATAAAACCTATTCTGAAGATTTTTTCCATTAAATAAATCAATTGCTGATTTATTGCTGAACTTTTGTTTCACTTATACATGTTTATCTTACACTCATCTTTTACTCACATAACTTTCATCACAACAAAAGCTAATAGTAAAATAATTGTCTTGGCTAGTCTCCAAAAGCCATGCAGGTCAGGTATCACTCTACACTACTTTAATACAAGGAAGGAAACACCCCACTGTACACATTTTGGACTTCATCATAATAATAAGAAGCTTTGTCTCATCAGCTTAACACAATAAATAAACCCGATTTCTTTTTTCAGCTTTCTTATGAAACATGCCTAATTAACCAATTAAATTATATTAGCTGTTATTTAGTAGCTTTATATCTGAAAATTGGGTGGTCTTTGCTAGAATTGCATTAATTTTACTTACTTCTTGATATCAACTTCAACTCGGCCATTTTCATTGATTGTGACAGTGTTGACAGCATCCAACGCAATGTCCACTGCTAAGTCTGCCCAGCGGCCAATGTACTTAGTGCCTACACATGAACGGATCTGAAAAAAACAACAAATCAGATAAATTCCAGAAACTACAGCTCATGCATGAGGGCTAAATCATACAAAGCTAAGTGCTAAAAATTAAACTAAACTATTCCAGCAGTTATGGAAAAGATTTACCATTGATATCATTTAATATTTAATATCATTTAATTTATGTATGTTAATATGTTTGTAAATTAAATTATATTAAATATTGAAAGGAACTTTTAGTATTGCTTTCTATATTTGAATGTATTTTACTATGTTTTAAATATGTATTTTAATTAATTGTTTTTCATTATCACTGTTCTCTCCCAAAATCATAGTATGTCAACAAATAATAATTATAGGTTATCATTTTCACTTGCAACTGTTGAAGGTAATGTAATACTTACATTTTAAGTTTAAATAAATTAAAAGGAACTTGGTCTTGATACTCACAACTTCTCTCAACTTTTCTCTGTCATTTAGATCGATTGGGACAGATATTTTGTCCTGCAACAACTTCACCGCGTCCTCAAGGGCCTGTCTGTACTCGCGGATGATCACTGTGGGGTGGATGTTCTGTACCAGGAACTGCTCGGCCACCGCCAACATCTCGCCAGCGAGAACTATTACTGATGTGGTTCCATCGCCAACCTTGCAGAAAAAGTTGAAACTTTTGAGTGTTTTTAATAGCAAGATTGTAATGTTACAAATTCAGAAGATTGTAATTTGTTTAAGAAATGCGCTGTTATTAATCAAGTCTGATTTTCTGAATAATCATAACGCTTTTTATTATGACTAATCCCAAGCTGTCAGAAGTTAGAACAAGAAAGCGAAATTCTAACCTCTTCATCTTGTGTTCTGGCGATTTCGATCATTGATTTGGCCGCTGGGTGCTGCACTGTGATCTCCCTGAGGATAGCATTGCCATCGTTGGTCATCACGATGCCTCCCATCGGGTCCATGAGCATTTTCAACATAGCCTGCGGTCCGAGGCATGTTCGTATAACGTCGGCTATTGTCTAAAATACAAAAACAAACGACATGAGATCTTTTGAAACATGTTATTTACAGCGTAAATTTACTGAAAATCGTTAAATATCCCAGGATATACCTTCCCAGCATTGATATTTTCGAGCTGAACCTTCCGGCCGGACTCACGTTTTGTGTTTTGGCCTGTAAAGAAAGATGAGTAATGAATGAAATTTCCTACTCCCACAACTGCCAAGGGAAACCATATATCCAGCACTTACTCAGAACTAAAATAGGCTGTTGTCCACCACCAAACATTTTTAAATATTTTTAGGATTCACTCGTGAAAATAATTTCCTTCAGAAAATTCACTGTTTCACGAAAAATCGCGTGGTGTAACTAATGTTGCCATACGAAAAAAAAACCATCAAAGACAGTTTTCTGTAATGATTGGATTAGGTAATATTCCTGTATTTACTTGTATTTTCACGTCCATTTTGTTGATTTGTAACTTGTTCGATAAGGAAAACTTATAAATGATTAATTAAAAAGACTAATGTGAATTTTATTGCATAATCATTGTAAGAAAAATTACCCAACGGTGTGGCGACGCCACTACAAACTAGTGACCAACAGATGGCGCTGTCACTACTTCACTATGGCACACTCCGCCGCTCATACAAACCTGCATCGCGGTGACGGAGTTTTATATCCTGCCAAGTATATATGTTACGGCTAAAGATAGTTGTGAACATAAACTTAAGATTAGCCGGCTAAACTTAAGTTTATTTTCGAGAAGCAGCTAAAGTTCGATAACATGTTAGTTTGCGTCGTGATATTCCATCTTTAGCCGGCTAATGTTCACATTAGCCAAAACGAAACGGCTAAAAATGTATTCGATGGGCGCGCCAGGCCGGCGGAGGGCTTGAGGGGGCGGTGGGGAGACAACGCGCGCGCAGTTTTATTTTGTAATTTTAAATACTGAACTTTTTGGTGGGCGGGATGTTCCGTCATCGTAACTTTTCGTTTAAATTTTCATAATAATCGCGGGTATCGATGTCTCTGCATAAGTATCGATGTAGTGACAAAACGCAGTCAAACTAGGCTGCTTATGCGCTCCGTCCTTCGAGTTGGATTTTTATTGACAACTTGAGGGCAGTCACGCTTTGGAGGCCGCACCGGTCACATCGCCATCTTCTATTCGTATTCTAACGGGCCCGTCGACGCGTGTGCTAGTCACCCTCCCATGTGATCTCAACTTACCTCATCATCTACACGCCCAAATGTGCTAGAAACCGAAGGAATTCCCAACTGCTGCTGCCCATACTCGAGGTGGAACTGTCATCGATCTGCTCAAGGTACGTGAGTGCATAGTATTTTGTCATTGCGTACTGCTCGTACAGAACATCGATCCCTTTTTACCGGCAAGCCTTCTACGGTTTGATCCAGGTGTAGCAGGAAGCCACCAATCGCCTTCTAATCGTGGTGCGTTTGCTACAACAATTATTAATTTGTCTATGGTTCTTTGCCACTGGATGTTTTCAGCAGGTATTAGGTGATTTAACTAATGTTCACAAATCGACAGTATGTCGAATAATACAGAGAGTAACACGCAAGCTTGCAGATCTAAGCTCAGAATATATTAAAATGCCAGATAAGCTAGAGCTGAGAAGAATTGCAGAGAATTTCTATGAGATTGCTGGATTTCCTCGGGTTGCAGGAGCCCTAGATTGCACCCATATCAAAATAGTTAGCCGAAGAGGGTCGTTAGCTAAATTGTATCGTTGCAGAAAAGGGGTTTTCTCCATAAACGTTCAAGCTGAATGCGATGCTTCGCTAAAAATAAGTGATTTAATTGTTCGATGGCCCAGATCTGTACACGATTCTACAATATTTAATCATTCCCATTTGTGTGCAGATTTTGAAAGGGGAAAATATAGCCCATACTATTTATTAGGAGATAGTGGCTACTTTAACAAGAACTATTTGCTGACCCCTTTTTTGAATCCTCAAAATAGTGCAGAGGAAGCTTATAATAAAAGCCACATTTCCACCAGAAACACTGTGGAGAGATGCTTTGGGGTACTTAAACGTCGCTGCCCATGCTTAGAAAAAGTAAATAATTACTCTGAACAAAACATCAACAGTTCTTCAGGTGATTGTGGCATATGTGGTGTTACATAACATTTGCATTGAATTAAATGAAGTTGATCCTCCAAACGACATTGAAATTACAATAGATAAATAGTAATGTTCCATTGTCTTTATGTTCCCAATCGGCACACAGTGCTGTACGTGCTGCACTAGTAAATAGTGAGTTTTCTTAAATGTATATTATTTAATATACCTAATTTAAAATTGGTGTCTATGCCCTATTGTATGTACTTACTATCTTTCGCACAACTGATCAAAACAAAAGCTGCTCGGGTGGGTATGATAAGAGTTGTGCGAGTCCAAGTCGGGATATTTGTGGAGGATGATGCTCTATGCCGACAAAGGGCATGAAATATCTTTTGAAGATATCTAGTGAAGGTAATGAACCAGAGCCAGAGGGTGCCACCAGCAAGATTGTTTTCGATTTTGACAGGCCATTACTGAATCGTGGGCACACTGGTGATGGACAATTTTTACAATAGTCAAAAGCGGAAAAAACGTGCTGACGAGACATATTATCAGTACATGCTGATTATGAAAGAACTTGGCAGAAGGGCGAAGTTCCCTGACTATGTGTCTATCCAATATATCACGCCACGCGCTGTTTTATTTTTTCTTCCTGGCATTTAATATAATTTGCTACATAAGAACGGTGTTACGAATGTGTGCGACTCAACCTTGCACACTCCTGGCATTTTCAACTATGCTATCCTAAGTTTATATTTATTTTTAACTTAAACATTGGCTACCCTAGGCTTTTAATTAAACCATTGCTAAGTAAAGTAAAATTTCGACGTGTGGTTCTGATTTAATACCTAGATGGTTTATTGAGGCTCTCGGTAATAACAACCTAGAAACTGCAATGTCTCGACACGAAATGTTTGGGAATGGAACTAGAGTGTATAACCATGACGAGACAAATACTATGACTGTTCAAAAATCGGCCAAAGTTTTGGCATTAAAGGGACAAAAACAGGTATCAAAAGTCACAAGCGCAGAAAGAGGGACTCTGGTAACAACATGTTATACAGTGTGAGTCACGTTAAAGTGTACATATGAATTAAGGTAAAACTAGACCTTTTTTATCGACAAAAAAGAGATCAAAAATTTTTTGAGATTTTTTTTAATTTTTTTATAGATTTTTTTTCTTTCAATTACTTATTGTAAAGAAAACGTAATAACTTTTAAACTAAGAGGTATATCCTGATAAAATAAAAACAGTAATAATGCTAAATAACAGGCAATACTAAAAAAATACATGAATTACCCAGAAAATGCCAACAAATAATAAAAAAATACACTTTTTGAAAAAAATCTGCTTAAAAATTCGTATTTTTTTTGGTTATTTGATAAATTTCTCCAAAAAATGCCACTATTATGGATGAATAAGGAACTATCTGTAAAAACAATGAACTTTATTACACACACAAATAGCAGAAAAGACAACCCTAGTCTATTGATTTTAGACAACCATGAGTCACACATCAGCATTGAAGCTCTTAATTTAGCCAAAGATAATGGTGTTACTATACTCACTGTTCACCACACACAACAGGTAAGTTACAACCTTTAGACGTTGGCGTTTTTGGCCCTTTTAAAACGGCATATAACAAATCTGTTGACAGCTGGATGATGCGGAACACCGGGAAGACCTTCTCCATTTATGAAGTAGCTGCGTGTGTTAAAGAAGCACATATGAAAGCAATGACCCCAAATAACATATTATGTAATGCCTTTAAGGCAACCGGGATTTTCCCCTTTAACAGATACATATTTTCTGATGATGATTTCGCGCCCAGTGAGGTAACAAACAGACTATTAGAAAAAGAAAATATACTGCCACCAGAAGAAGAAAGATTAAACAATGAGAATGATGTGAGAACAAGGACCCCATCTCCATCAATAATACATAATGATACAATATTACACTCTATTGACACCCCAAGTTCTTCAGTGAATTTACTGCCTCAAGCAGTTTCACTGTCCGGTAATATAACGAGTGAATATCCTTCTGAAGAACACATTTCTATCCAACCAAACCGACTTTCCCAGCCGCATTGCAAGCAGTTTCTTCTACTAGAACTAGTCCAGTACCTTTGAATATCACAATTGACACAACAAAATCTCATCGCACACCATCCAAAAATCCCAGTCCGATTCCATCCTCATCTTTATGTTCTCTTCCTCCCTCCCCTCATAATTTACCGCAAAAAAAGTCGATAAATTCGGACGTTTCCTCTCCAGCATGCAGCAAAAGAACACCCAGTGTTAAAAAATTCATTAGTCCATTCGAATTTAAGGGATTACCCAAAGCAGGACCACGAAAGAAAGGAAAATCTGTTATACGTAGAGGTAAAAGTATGATCGCAACAGATACACCTAATAAAAATGAAATAGAACAGAGAGCTGAAGAAAAAAATAAACAAAAAAATAAAAAGAAGTCTGTTAACGTAGTAAAAAGAAAAATATTAGAAAGCGACAGTGATAGTGAAGAAGAGGAGCGTATGAGTCTTTATTCAGAGGAAGAGCCTACATTTGATGAAGACGATGATAAAATTGATGTTGTGGATCCTAATAACTTTCCTTTATTACAAAATTTGCCAGAAGAGGGAAGATTTGTACTGGTCGAATTTCAAGTGAGAGGGAAAAAAGTCTATTATGTAGCAAAAGTTATAGGAATAATTAATGAAGATGTAGAAGTTAGCATTCTTAGAAAGTCTACAAAGAATCCAAATAAATATTGTTTGCCTAATGTTCCAAATATAGCTACTGTTAATAAATATGATATTAAACTAGTGTAGCCTCAGCCTGGATTTAGTGGGAGTACTAAAAGAGAACAAGGGTTGTACCAATTTGATTATGGACTTTTCTAGAATAGATCTACGTTAATTAGTTTTCCTTTCTACTCATAAGATGTTAAATGTTTGTAGAATAGATCTGCGTTAATATTTTTTTCCACAATTGTTCATTGTGGAAAACCTTGGGGGAGGCCTTTGTCCAGCAGTGGACGTCATTTGGCTGAAACGAACGAACGAACGNGGCTAAAGTTAGAAGAAACTAACATTAACACCTCGTCGAAGATAAACTTAAGTTTAGCCGGCTAATCTTAAGTTTATGTTCACACCTGTCTTTAGCCGTAACATATAGACAAACCAAGATGGTGTAAATTGGACCTTGGTCCCCGAGCATAACACACCCGCTCGGGGACCAAGGTCCAATTTACACCAATGTGGGATATGATGTTCGTCCACAATAAGGAAGCTAGATGTTAGTGCTTCCTTTCCGAGCGGGTGTTATGCTCGGGGACCAAGGTCCAATTTACACCATCTTGGTTTGTCTATATATACTTGGCAGGATATAAAACTCCGTCACCGCGATGCAGGTTTGTATGAGCGGCGGAGTGTGCCATAGTGAAGTAGTGACAGCGCCATCTGTTGGTCACTAGTTTGTAGTGGCGTCGCCACACCTTATTTTAATAGTAGTTTTTTATTTCTTAAAATGGCAACATTGCAGAACGCAAATGTCAAAATATTTTTTAATAGTAACCGGGCAAAAGAATAAAAATTATACAATGTAGTGTTTAAATTATAAATTTTATACTTATTATTTATAAATAATTTTAATAGTAAAAAAACTATAAATTGGCAGTGATGAGCTATTTCAAAATCTTCACAAAACGTATTTTATGTTTTATTTATCTAAGTATTAAGATTTAACTTTCATTCAAGCATTCAAGTCATGTATGAGTAACAGAGAGGGCGCTAGTGCAATGTTTTTTAAAACGGTGAAAAAATTGGCGCGAATCAGTTTTAGTTAGTGAAAGTTTATTGGTTTATTTAGTTAGTTAATTACTTAAATAAATAGCCTGATCTCATTGTCTGTAGCGCTGTAAGTAAAACATAACTTTCCTTTCTTTTATTTAAATGTAATTTTTCAATTTTGAAAAGTTATAAACCTTCATCCTATACATTAGTGCCTAAATATTTTCATAACGGTATTATATTTTTTTTGCAACACGTAAATTATGACATTATAAGACTTCGTTTCCAGTTGCTTTCCGAATGTGTGAACCGAGAGCATAACTGATGATGGAGAAATGGCTCCAACCACACAGATGGCGCTTGAAGACTCAAGACCGAAGAGACCTTCGGGTTTGGGATTCACGTTTTCCAAGATCTAAGTAAGACCTTACCACATTAGACCTACCTTACCTACCTTCACGTGAGAGACGGCATTGCATTTTTATATTCGGATGGTTCAAGCTGGCAATGGGAATCGAATCCGGGACCTCCGAATAGTAAAAGTTCAACTCGGTAACCAATTAGACTATGGCGACCAGAAATACTTAACATAATCTTTCGCATTCACTTCTTATTTACAGAGTAGTTAAAATATAAATATTACCTAATAAATGTTTGCTTGTTTTATCTCCTCAGAGTAACAAACAGAATGATAATTTAGGTACTTCGTGTAGGTCATTGCACCTCATAGTAAGTAGTACCACTACTTAGTTAGAGCTTTATACAGCGTGTAACAAATAAAAAAACGTATCCTGAAGACTGAAACCATGCGTTTTGTACACCCAACCAAATAATATTACTTACAAAATATTATTCATTAATGTTATTTCAAATTTCAATACTATAAAAATGGTTCATCACAGAAGATTGGTTTCCCAACATCATACAAACAAACTTTATGTTGATTACAAAACATTACATTTTAATAAGTGATATCTCGATAAGATAGTAGAGACTCGTGCAAATACGCACTAGATAGCATCGCTACATTTAATCACGGAATACTTACGTATCAATCTCAGTAATGCTCAAATGCATTTCATTGAGTGTTGTGTTTCGTGTAGATTTTTATTATGGATTCAGTGTACGAAAGAGCGCTAAATGAAGTAGGTCAGAATGGAAAATTCCAGATACGTTTCGACATAGTTTACAATTTAGTATTCACAGCGTTATGGGCTACGGCCTACAACAGCATATTGTTAGCGCTAGTTATTATACCTCATTCGTGTGAACTTCCAAACAGACCTGAAAATGTAAGTGCACTTGACTGGAAATCAAAATACATACCCATGTAAGTTTTTCACTTTATTAGTTACTAAGTATTATTTTAAATAAACAAACACAATTTTCTTTGAAATTGACTTTCATTGATTTCACTGCAGCTACTAAAGATTTGATATTTTCAGTTAGTTGAAAACTTATTCAGTCGAATTGAAACTGTACAAAAAAATAAGAAGTTCATAGGTACTTATTAAAATTTAAGCTCTGTCGTTCTTATGTATCATTTCAGGGTGAATGATACTACTGGGAAAACAGTATTCAGCAGTTGCCAAATATACGTAAACCCAGATGAAAACAATGTAACAAAATGTAAGTAAAAACTAAACTAACATAGATTTACATTTAGGTACCTACACTGCCCGAGAAACTAATTATTAAATATTTAAATGAAACTCTATATTGACTTTTTTAAAGCTAACAAAAGTAAGTAAATGACAACTACGATCGTGTTTGTGATAATGTTATTGCACAAATTAATGTGTACCTTCTTCACCAACACATGCCACTCACTGTTGTTGCAAAATTACACGTATGAGAACTAAAGACATATGACACAGTGCTTAATTTTTATGTTGTCTTCTGATATTATTGTTTTTCAGCTTGCGATGTTTACTCTTACAACAGAACTTGGTACGAATCGACCGTTTCTTCTGAAAACAATTGGGTGTGCGACGATCAGATTTATGTAGCAAATGTATTCGCCTATAGCAAAATAGGCGAAGCCGTTGGATCGGTCTTATTTGGTTGGTTCGGTGACATGTATGTAGAGTTATGTCCTCTCCAACGTTCTTTGGCAATTTTGTACAAAAAATATCATAAAATCGTCTGAAATAGAGACTAAACTTTACCTTAATAAAACTTTACTTTGAAACCAATGTATTAGTACCTACTTACAATAGGGCCATGGAAAGTTTTACGTAAATGTTACGGCACAGAATAATAATGTACTACGTTACGGCCTTCGTCTTCGTCGTCGTTGTTTCAGCCGAATAACGTCCACTGCTGGACAAAGGTCTTATTAGCCTTAAAATTGTCAAAGTCCATTGGTGCGGACTATTAATTAAATAGAATGGAATACTTAATATGATTACCTTTTAAACATTCATTTGTTTATTCCAGATACGGCAGACGTTTATCATACATTGTGTCCTTAGGCTTGTTAGTTCTTGGGAGAGTGGTATCAGTATTTAGTAGCCATTTGTACATTATCTTCGTTATTGGCTGTATCATCGCGTCGTTTCCATCATGGACTGTCGTGCAGAGTGCGACAGTGATATCTATGGAAATATCGGCGCCCGACCGTCGGTCCACCATAGCGACGCTGCGTACGATCGGGTATAGCGCGGGCATGTGTCTGATGCCGCTGCTGTATTGGTGGCTACGGGACTGGAAGACTTTCATGATCGTCACCACGGCAACGCAAGTGCCGTTTTTAATGCTCTCGTGGTAAGCATGAACACAAGCCTGCTTCTACCAACCTTTGCTTGAGTGTAAGTAGAACCAACTCAGAATAGGCATCCATGAAAATAAGTTTTATATTATTTCAGGAAAATTCTAGAATCTCCTAGGTGGCTGTGGGTAGAAGGAAAAACTGAATCTTGTCTCAAAGAGTTGAATAAAATTGCTAAAGTAAACCATACAAAGCTAGAAGACGAGACTAAGGAGGAGATATTTATATCAAAAGCGACAAGTGTTCAAGCCATTGGACCACTGTCTTTGTTCTCTGGTTGGCGATTGGCAATCAACACAATTTTACAATTATACCTGTGGTAAGATAGATATATTTCTTAGTTATAATTACTTAGGTGATGCTAATCAGCGAAGATCATAGGTTGTTAAATAGTTTTACCTATATTCAAGTTTTAAAGCGTCACTCTACCGTATTCTGGTCTATTTCACTTTGATCGCCTGGATTTCTAGCGACACTTAATAGACTACAAGCGACACTTTGGTGTCCTTTGATCACTCATGGATAAGATCACCTAGGTGTTTTATTTTTTATGTGACAGGAGGCAAACGAGCCGACGGATCACCTGATGGAAAGTGATTACCGTTGTCCATAGACACTCGTAGTCCCAGGGGCGTTACAGGTCAAAGTGGAGTGGACTTCCTATCCATGGGTGATCAAAGGACATTAAAGTGTCGCTTGGAGAGAATAGGCCCATTTTCTTGTGACAAAAACTCCTGTAAATACTGCTACACAGAAAAATGTTAATGCCAAACTTCCCAATGTGCAGAATATCATGAAGTTATCAAATCAAATCAACTATACAATCATAATAAATGTAGTTGCATCATAACACACTAATATAATTTGAATTTACGCCTAATCAATGTCATTTAGATAAAAACCTTGAATGAAACCGATTTTGAATGATTGCGATGTAATGACGCCAGAATTTAATATCGTTATCTACACCTCTACTATTGTAATTAGTTTCAGGATTTAGGTAGGCTTCATAACATGACAATGCTAATTAACTTTTTGCCTTTCAACAGTTCTTCAGGTAAGGGTAGATTAGCTGAAGAACTGTTGGAAGTAGGTACTCTTATTAAGGTACTACTATTTTTTCCAGGGTTTCCGTAAGCTTAAGCTACATAGTGCTCTTACTAAGTTCTGGAGAGAAGACCGATGCAAACCCATTCCTAGAGTTCGCTTGGCAGTCCATGGTGGAGCTACCAGCTACATTCGCGGGCGCGTGGCTTGCTGACAACTTAGGGCGGCGATATGCGGGTGCCACGGCGTATAGCGTCAGCGCCCTGATGTGGATCTTAATGTCCTTCAGATTGTACGGTGAGTAATAATATGATCTAGGGCGACAATCAAGCGAGATGTGTGCGGTGAAGCAAACGTACTTGGGATGACCTAGTGCCCAACGGTCGCTTAGTCGTCCAAGGTACCGCTAGGGAGACGAAGTTGCGAAGGACCTGTGCGTTCTCCACGTCGATGACTGGTAAGAGGTAGCCCAGAACAGCCCGGAATAGAGATTCTTATTGTCTGACCCGTTCTTAGAGTTCCCTTGGCAATCCATGGTGGAGCTACCAGCTACATTCGCGGGCGCGTGGCTTGCTGACAACATGGGGCGGCGATATGCGGGTGCCACGGCGTATAACGTCAGCGCCCTGATGTGGATCTTAATGTCCTTCAGATTATACGGTGAGTAATAATATGATCTAGGGCGACAATCAAGCGAGATACGTCCAGTGAAGCATCGTGAGGATTTCGCTTGGCAATCCATGGTGGAGCTACCAGCTACATTCACTGGCGCGTGGCTTGCTGACAATTTGGGGCGCCGGTATGCGGGCGCTACGGCGTATAACGTCAGCGCCCTGATGTGGATCTTGATGTCTTTCAGATTATACGGTGAGTAATAATATGATTTGTTAGGGCGACAGTCAAGCGAGATGTGTGCGGTGAAACAAGCGTACTTGGGACGACCTAGTGTGGCCAACAGACGCTTAGTCGTCCAAGGCACTGCTAGGGAGACGATGTTGCGAGGAACCTGCACGATCTCCACGTCGATGATTACGGGACTATTCCCACCTCTCATTCCCACCACTGCAACTCCTGTGTAGCCAGGATCTACAGCTTGACCGCCACAAAAACCCAACCAATGATGGTCAAGTTTGTCCCGGGGGATAGTTAAACTGTCATTGGACCCGCAACGAAATTAATCAGAAGAACATAGGAGGAGTTCGAAATTAAGGTTCGACGTCAATGATTAGTAAGAGGTAGCCCCGAAATGACTAGAGTAGAGATACTTATGGTCTGATCCGTGCCTGGAGTTCGCTTGGCATGGTGGAGCTACCAGCTACATTCGCCGGCGCGTGGCTTGCTGACAATCAACCGAACCAAATCCGAAAACTGATGATCACGAGCCTTTATGATGACATAAAAGCTCCATTGTAAAAGACACCTTTTTAATTAGAAAAGAACACCATTTTAATTAGTAAAAAAAACTTTCATGACTAAATACCAAAGTACCTTCTCATAAATTAAAATCAAAGGAAATTCGCACAAATGAATGCCTTCATCCCTCTTGCGATTATTGTTTCCAATTATTTCAGTTCTTTAATGTAAATTGAATTTCAAGTACGTTTTTCACCAGCATGCAGTGTTGATTGACACACCGGTACACTAACGAAAAACAGAGATCAGAAAAAGTGCGTCATGGTTTGAAAAATCTAAAGAAAGTACCTATAGATACTCTACAGTCTCTATATGAAATTTCTAATCGCAATACTTTTCAGGAACAAACACATGGCTGCAAGAATGGTGGGTAGGCTCCACGCTTATAGTTGTAAACAGATTTGCCAGTACGGTGTCATATTACGTCATCTACCTGTTCAATATGGAGCTGTACCCAACTTGTCTGCGCCAGTCAGGGATGTCTCTAGGAAACGTATTCTCGAGCGGAGGCAGCGCTATGGGAGCGTATTTGATGCACCTTGTAAGTATGACTTAACATATAAAATTATAGAGACAGCTCTTCTTCGTGTCGACAACAAACCTACACAGTGTCAGCCCAAAACTCTGCCCAAAACAAGAGTGGCGTTGTCAGTAGAATTCATTAAATCTTCCTGCGTGCAGTTTGTTTGGGCACGCAGGGCACATAATATGATGGTAGAGACAGTATTTTATTAATTCAAATACACACTTCAATAAAACTGATATCTACATTTATAGGTTTTAGAATCAACAATAACATTGAGACAATAATTTGAGACTTGGGTAGGTACATTATTATCGCCAAGCTTAAGTAATGATTTGTATGCCAAGGTGATTGTAGTAATATTTGCGAATTAAATTATCAACTCATACATCACACAATTGTTGGCAGACCAATAAAATAAATAAATAAATAAACACGCTAATTCATTAGCAACAAATACCGCGTGACCACATTTGTGAAAAATCAAATCACCAAAATTTCAAATAGCACCAATTTTAACAAGATGCACGGTGCTTACCTTTAATGTGACGTATTAATAGTAGCATATTTTTATCTAGAAAACAACTTTTACTTACATGGGTACTGTTTTAGGGTCGTCTAGATGCCCGTATTCCAGGAGCAGTTCTGTTCGTGGTCGCCTTACTAGGGACAGGGTCCACGCTCCTTCTCCCAGAGACCCTGAACGCCACGCTGCCAGAAACTATACAAGATGCCCGGGAGTTTGGGAGAAGGAATAGAACTAAATACGGCGCTATTAAGCTGAAGACTGAACCAACAAGACAGAATCCATCAGAAAAATAACAATTGAGTGATAATGTTATCTGTAGAGTTAATTAAATACCTAATAACTAATTATATTATAATTTACACCTACATTACACTCGTGTCTTTTCGCACAAACATCCATTTGCGCTTGTGGATTCGCACAAGCCGTGTCCTCATGACGATACTTACTTATTGTGCTTATTTTATGACAATGTATTGTGTGTAATGTAAGTATTTTCAGACATAATTAAGTACCTACCTACCAATTAAGCCAAATAGCACTTTTTGAAATAAAATTAAGCAAAAACAATCAAATGGAACTTTAATAGCGTATTACATTTCTTGCTGAGTAAGTACATTATTTAGTAAACATCATTGGAATTTCAGGACAAAAGGTACTATAATTTTCTCATTATGACTAGGATTGACTAGAAATATTTCTACATGACTTATATTTTTGAGTATTTACAACATAAACGATACATTTTAGGTAATAATACAATACATACAACCACTATTATACAAGGTTTCAAGTACAAGTACATACTCATAGACTTAGTCCATGATGTCATCATCTACGTCAGATGACTCTTCTTTCGTATCTTCTTCCTTGCTAACCTTTGCATCGTCTCGACCTGCATGGAGGTCTTCATAAACACGTTTCAAATTCCTCATAATATAAGAAGTGCCGTTAACTTGCCCGGAATTCGAACGATGCTCGAAATACTTATCCGGTCCATCCACATTGATGGTTCCCGAACGAACAGGAACGGAAAAGGCCGACATGTGTCGTGGTCTCTGCCCGAAATCTCGACCAAGCCGCTTCTCCAAGCTCGCCTCTTCTGGACGAACCTCTTGAGAGATATTCGTATCGATACCTTCAGCCAGAGCTCTTTTTCTGTCATAAATGTGTCCAGAAACGCGCAAGTCGATGAAGAAATTGAGGGGATCTACTCCGAACTGAGGGTTGTAGAGCGGAGGGTACCACATAGGAGGTGGCGGTGGGAGAATCAAGTTCGAAGGCGGCACCGCAGCAGATTCTGCAGAATTTCTGCCAATACACGGGGAAGGCTTAGGCAACTCTTCAGTGCCAACGTCCACGAACGAGGACTGTCTTCCAGGGGGACCAGGGCTACCACTCGGCTTAGTAGGTTCGGCCTTTGGAGAGAGCCTTCTCGGCGAAAGATCACGCATCCTCGGATGTTTATCGACAGTTAATTCCAATGGAACTTCTGGTCGTGTCTCTGGTTCTTTCTTTTCCTCCTCTTGTTTGTGCCAGTCTCGTCGAAACTCGGTTTCGTTTTCAGCAAAATATTTGTGAGCGCGACGTTTAAAGCGGCGATGGTAATGCGGGGGCCGACAGCCGTGTCGTGCGTTGACGAAGGATCTGAGCATTTCGCTGAAGAAGAATGCATGTGGCTGCAGGGGTAACGCACTGTATAGATATGGTGGAGTAGCAGCAAGTAGACGAGAGACCAGCTCGGTGTTCCTTATATCTCGCACATGGGTCTTTGTAGGGCCCTCTGGAGGCGGCTTCTCCTCCTGCACGGAACTCATTTCCTGCAACAAAGCATTCGCAATTTGATTCAATTCGCAAATGACAGAGATCTGTAGAGATTTGAAAGGAATGAGATGCGAGGCGTCGAGTGTATGAGGGTGAATAGGATGCTTTGACTGTAACGGCGTTTACACCCTCCGACTCTATATCGGGGTATTATTTGTTTATTTCATACATGGTGTTTTATATTTACTCATTATACTGGTAAGTAAATCATACCTAAATAAGTTTAACGTCAGTTTAACTATTTGCAAGAAATAAGTACCTACTACTAAATTCGTAGCAGCTTTTTTTCGTAGCATTATGTAATGTAAACGGATGTTATGATCTCTAACATAAAAGTTTCCTACTTCATTAATTTTGTTTCATTTTGATTATATTCCACATAAATTCTGAAAAAGTAGTCACTATAATTTCCCGTGAAAATATTACTGCTGAGTTTTTAAGCTGCGTAAGCTTACCAAATCGTGTAGATTATAATTCTATGTTTAAATAATAATAAAAAAACAAAACACGATCGCAATCGTAAAATGTAAACCGGCTCCATTTCCGAGACAGTCCAGTGATTATCGCGCGAACAATGCGCCGCCCATTACCTCGCGCACAGATCGTCCTCCATCGCGAGATGACTCCCGAGGATTGCTCTCCAAATTGATTAAAAGTGCATTCACTCCCTATATAGCGCAGGATTTATTTTTAAAGACAGATCTGTGGCTAAAATCTACTATGAAGATAAGTATGACCCTTTTTCTTTCGTGGAAATCAGTGATATGAAAAGTAATATAGCAGTCGCGGTGGCAGACCCAGTCGATACATAGGTACTCGTACCTATTCTGGAAGTGAAAAAACTGGCTTTGTTTCAGCTTAATGTGATTACTGTGAGGGTTTTATGTAGGCACTATTTACAGGCCTACTTACTGACTTACAAGAAACAAATAAAACTTATATCAAATAGAGACATCTAGATAACCTATTTCAATAAATATAGTTACCTGAAAGAAAACAGTTTTTAATTCCGAATGCAAATTGACTTTCACGACGTTATCTTATGTTGACTAGAAAATGTATTATTCTGATCTGGCAAAGTGTTATTGAAATATTCATGGCGTCATTAGGTTCTGTGAAAATGCTAATAAAACGAAGTAGGTATAGGTATGTACCAGTATATCAATATAGAATTACCAAAGATTCGGTTGCTTCTAAATATTGTATAACCAAATCAAATACAAACCAACTTGTAAGTCTAATACGGTCACGTATGCAATCCGTTCGTCTGTCGACATCGATTTTTCAGCTCACCGCAGTTTTATTGCCAATATCGGAATGAAGCCGATACGCGGATCCCTCGTATGACAGACTTGCCTCCATTTTGCGGGTAAATTAAAAAGGCATTTGCTGACGTCCGCGTCAGCCAGGGCTGTGTATACAGAGTTTGGTACCGAATTCTTGAGCGGATTATTATTCGTTATCCTGATATTACGTAACGTTATCTCAATTGAATAACAATTACAGATCTTGCAGTTTGATTGACAATAATCGTAAAGGAAATGCGACGCGATAGCAGATAGAATTTTAATGAATCGCAATATGAAAATAAAAAAAATTGATATTAATAATCTCAGGCATCATTTTAATCAAGATCCTACTAAATAGTAATTAATATCACGCAAAAGTTCGTGGTGGTCTAATATCATAGCATTTTAATCTCATATTTTGTTGCCTTTATAAAGCTAAAATGTATTGAGCCATCAACTTGAACATACCTACCTACTTGGAATTCAACACGAAATCTCTACATGCAAATTACATTCAATATTATGTATAATGTATAGTTAAAACAGAATTGTTAATTCACCACTTGATGATGATTATACTATCACTGTTAAATATCCCCATAACTTACTTACTATCCCATTTCTAAAGTACTCTTCAAGCGTACCAATGGCTGAATAGAATCAACTACCGCAAAGTTAAATCTCAATAATCTGGGGTGTAGGGGTGGCACTAATAAGACGTCGCTCGATCGCGAATTAAACGTCACATTACCATGCGAACGAGGAAAGCGATACGATACGAGTACATCGGATTTGTGTGACAATGGTGACAATACAGCGTGGGGTGTGTAGGGCTTTCGATACGCTGTTTCTGGAATTGTGCCAGTTCCTTTTGCTTTCCATTTTGAAATGTAATTTTTTTTCGTTATTATTAAATTTTGGTTAGGGTTAATAAGTTTGGATTTAGCTACATAGCGATGCTTTATTGTTATATCATATTCAAAAACATCTGAAAGTTTCGAAAAAGCTCTGAAGCTTATGCTCTCATGATGACGTTTATTTAAGTTTTACAGTGTTACAGCTAGTAAACACTAACTGGCTTCGGCATCGGCACAGTTTCATAGAAAACAGAGTTTGTGAACCCATAGCTCATAGTTCAGTATGAAAATATTTTCTTTGAGTACCGTTTCATAGCTACACCTGAATCTGCAATAGTTATTTTTTATTTTACGGTTCGCGCTTTTGCGTGAAGAGCGTAGAGTTACTGCTCTGTAGTATGTATTACAAAATTCTTGTCTCTCTTTCTTTCACAAATAAGCCATCACCCACCATGACTGTCTGGTTAAAAAATTCATATTTATTCATTCATACCTACGGCGATTATACATGTCTGTGTGGTTCAACCCTACCGTGCAGGGAGCTCACAATAAATTCCGAGCGTATCTCTATTCAAACAGTTGATACGCGCGAGGGAATCTTACGCCAAACATGACGGCTGTCCCCCGCCTCCCGTCTGCTCAAACGCGGCTAAGCCTTGTTCGCACTAGTCAGGTGGCGAGGAATTTAGAAACTAAACAAGTCCGATCACCAAAAATTTTGTTGAGTAGTTTATATCGTTTAGTCGAGCCAAATACATTTTGTTCTATTTTGACATGCGAGTAGCACACCTGCATCCCTGCTCACTCGCTCACCAGCTACGAGTACCAATCCGAATCAGGCGATTTAGTTGTGTTCGTGTTTTTACACCTCAATTTACTTGTAAACTGTACTCGACCAAAGTGCGAACGGTTTTTTGCTCAGTAGCGAGAGTTTAGTAGGTATTAAAGGCGAGTTACTCTACTAAATGACTCTACGAGTGTGAACAAGGCTTTAATCGCAGAACGGGAGATACGCCAAATTGGAATCGCTTTTATTTGGTATTGATTATAATCTGTTACATATCTCCAAGATTGCGGATGCCTTGAAATAGATGAAATCGATCAGATTTACGATGTAGAATTGTGATTTGTAATTATAATGATTTTTGTCTTCGGATGTCAGGCAAAACAATATTCAGTCAATGACGAAGCTAAACTTCATGATAATATAAATAATTAGATATTTTAATAATGCACCAAAATGTGTCATAAAAATGTGACAATAGTCCAAGATGCTATTACAGAACGAAGCTTAAAACTCGATTCAATTTATATGCACCTAACTGCAATCATATTGTATACTAGGTATCCCAAAAGACACACAGCTGAGTATACAGTAGCAATCTCTTGTTTATCTAAAATAATAGGTATTGTTCCCTACTTTTATCTCTGTGAATATGGTAAGGATGCAATTAACACCCTGTATATGTATACGCATTCAATTCAAATCATTGCTCAAAAGAATTCCTGAATCCTACCAAATATTTCCCATAAATAAAAATTCCTATACACAAATGAAAGGGACCGAAAATTCCGAATCTCAGCCCGCTCTCGTGTTTCGACTATTGAGGTGAAAAGTGACAAAAAAGCGGCACGAGCTGGTAAATTAAAACCCGGAGTGGATACGATGGATGGCTGCACAAATGCACTCGGCCGTAAAATAAATTTCCGTTGGACCGTCATATTTTTTGCATCCTACAGTCCAGAGGGTAGACTACGTGAAAGCAAGGAAACCAGTGTGTAGATGCTATCAAAGTTAAAGCGATTCTCATGAAAACTGGTAACTGAATATATTTTCTTCTCATTATTGACACGGAAAAGTCATAATTTCATCAGAGAATCATTTTCTATGAAATAATTTGAAAAAGTAACAATACTTAGGTAGGCAACATAGAACAAACATTCAACAAAACGTGAGTGCAATTTAACGCAGCAAAATAATAACTACAAATACAATCGCCTTCGTGCTGAAAGAGTTTGTGTATTTTATAGCGACCAGTTGTCATAGAGCTTATACAATGTAGTGGACACCCCGATAGTTTCACGGCGTGTTTGGTGGATTTCATTCGAAAATTGTGACAAATCACTTGTGGTTTTCCAAATAAATCAATTTTCAGTACACTCATTGTCAAGAAAAATAATTAAGTAAAGAAAGATTTGTTTAATCTTAAAGCATTAAACAAGGAAAAGTCCAGAAATTACAACTTTCGTCAAAATGCATTAGTACCTACCCAATAACAAAATATAGAACAAATATTGGAAAAACCATTGTGATGCGATGAGAATACTTATACAAAACTCTCACAAATAGGTGTATTGTCGCATCTTTTGAATCCAACAAAGCTTAAAACACATTTACAGATTGCGGGATAAATTAAATTATGTATTCCAGAAAAAAACAATTAGGAATCGCAATCCCGGCGGGCTCGCTGAATTTTAGCGACAAATTCGCTCGCGTATTTCAGTGTTAAAACTTGCGTTTGTTGAATCTAGTCCTTATTAGACCGGGATATGGTTCACAAGGATTATGAAGTGGTATCAAACGGTAAATAATACTTTTGTCGAGGTGTGAGACGTCACACGGCAGCGAACGTTAATTTCCATATTAAAACCGTCACAAAGGAAGCAGATTTCAAAAACCGCAGAGATGGGTGGCAAGCGCGGGTGGAGCGGCAGAGGTGGGAAGATACCACGCAAATTGGATGCGGCATAAATTATGTTAGAGTAGTAAGCCATACAAAGAACTATATCAAAATTCTCAAAAAAACTTACTTAATATTAAATAATACTGATTGGAGACGTTTGAAGACAACAATATTTATAAAAAAGATATTTTTATGTTAGAGTAGTAAAGTGAATTTGATGGACTTTTTTATTCATTAGGACTATAGCCACTGAAAGATGACGATTCTTTATCAAACGTGAAATGAGAGCAATTAGGTAATCTCGTAATAATTGAGCCATACAAAGAACTATATTAAAATTCTAAAAAAAAACTTGACGTCCCCATACCTACTGATTGGAGACGTTCGAAGACAACAATATTTATAAAAAAGTTATTTTTTTTTAATTTGAATTTTCTTTTTTTAGGAAAAGTTATTGCATTTTAGCAGTAGAATCAATCATTGTT